ACTCTGTAGCCTATTTAGTTTTTTTTACTTATTTTTCTTTTGGCTTCCTCATTTGCTAGTTCACAATTTACTGTAACACCACCAAAAAGTGAATATTAGGGGATGAAAAGGGATGATCCTCATGTTAATTAATTTTGCTATTAGCACCACTAGAAATGTGATATTTCTAGATTATGAGGATCAGTGCCCATACACAAACTGTGTTTGTGACCACAAAGCATTAACTACTTGATACATTTTTCCCTACATTTGTGGGCAGTGTACAATAATATCATTGGTAAAGGATGTTTTTCACTTACCTTCTTATTGACTACTACATTTTCCTTCAATCTGACTGACATAAGGACTTTGGGCCTGGGTTATTTATATTTCTTCCTTACCCTAGCTTGTTTTTCTGGAAGTCAAGTTCAATATTTCAGGTTCTTGACTCAGCTTAGATGGCTGCCAATGACTTAGTGTTTACATTTTGAAATATTTGATTTCCTGAGAAATAAGCTGGAGCTATAAAAAGACATGCTTTAAGTTATGAGTTCAGAATATGCTCTTGGGAGAGGGGTTCTTCTTTCTACTTTCTTCCCATCTATAAGTTATAGGAGTGTTATTTCCTAAAATAGTGGGACCATGGGACCAGAGATTTTGGACTGATAGTAAATATTTAAGTGAATGACAAGACAGACCAAAGGGACAATTATGTTCCAGAATTAGTGCAACCCATTTCTTGAGGGAATCATGAACAAGTAAATATATCAGGCTTCTTGTTGGGTTTCTCATTTTTCAAATGAGAGGTGATGCAAAATTAGGTATCCTGATGTGCTCCAGTGTTATCAGGATTTACAATTGGACTGCCACTGTTGTTAGCTGTCAATAGGGGGCAGAACACTGTCTACCTCTGCAGTAGGTAGCACTGGATTATAAAGATAGGGCAACTTTCCATATTACTAACTCTTAGGTGGGGGCAGGGTAGAGAAGTAATGTACTAGTATTTTTTATGCCCAAACAAATAAATTGCAAGAATAAAAACAAAAACGTTAGGAAAAACTGTCCAAGGAATTGCTCTGTATTAGTTTGTAAAAGGTGAATCTACAATTATCTTAAATTGTCCATTTAAGCAAAAGGAAAAACAGATTAATTTCTTACATTCAGGGAAAACATATGAAGTCTGTCTGGAAAAAATCCAGCCATTGATAACATAACAAGAATGGTTTGTATGACATCAATGTAACCTGGCAGCCAAGGAGAGTGGACTAGAATACACATGCATGAACAATGACAACTTCACTGAACTAGTCAGTGGGGGTGGTAGATACCATTGAATGAGCATGTGTACTGTGTGGCTATCACATTCAAAATGACTGAGAAAGTAGAGCAATGAATCTGCAATAAATTTTGCATTAAGCTTGAACATTCCTCTGCAGAAACTATTTAGATGATTCAGAAGGCTTTCAGGGACAATGCAATGAGTGCAGCACAAATAAAAGTGTGGCACTAATATTTCAAAGATGGTCAAGAATCTGTCCAAAGTGATCCACATTCTGGAAGTCCTGCAACAAGTAGAGCACCTGAGAATGTTGAACGTGTACAGGCTGCAATCGACAAAGATGAGAGAACTATGTGAGGTCCCAGAGTGCCTACTTTGAAGGGGACTGAGGCATCATTGTCCTATGTACCATGTTTCTGGTATCTTGTATCTTCTTCAAGAAAAATGTCTCTATTTTTCATATGATGTGGTTGGATACTTTCTGGACAGACTTCATAATTCTCATATAATTTAGATTGTCGTTGTGCCATTACAAGGCATTGAAATGTTTCTAAATAATGAGGAAATAAAAGGGGTGATACCATAAAAGAGAGACTTCCTCTAATTACACATGAATGTGAAAATTAAAGCATACTATAAGTCTCATGTGCTGAACTTACATCATCCAATATCACAGTCAAGTTGGGAAGACAGCCTCATTAATGATTGAATCTGGTACCTTTGTTTTCTAGAATATTAATTACAACACTTTTAGTACAAAAAGTCATATTGAAAATAGTCTCAGAAAAAAAAACTGTTGTTTCACAATAGTAACAAAGAGTGACTTCATATTTGCTCTTTACCTGTCTCCCCTGATTTAGTGACACCGAGTATGCTCTTACATTGATTCTATCTAATAAAATTTCACATTTCAATGTAATAATGATTCCATGAATATCTTATAAAATCTGGTTTGTTAATGATGTTACTTCCATTACATAAACTCATGTATGTTTTTTGTAGATGCTGATGTGTGGTTTTAACTGCACATAATAGCTTATGTAAACAGTATTGCTTCAGTTTTAGGTTGACAACACTGAATCAATATCTCATGTTCAATTGAATGGGTCATTAATAAGAACTACCTCAGGGACTTATTTTTATCTTTCAGGAAAAATATACCCAAAAGACTATAACAGTCAAGAAGCCCAAATAATTGTTTGATGTTTATTTTTAATGGCAAGAGAATGTATTTTGAAAGTTTTGTTCTAATGGGACTTTACATAAGTTCCATAAAACATCAACTGACTAAGCAATAGGTGTATGACAAACTCGAGCAATCTGTTGGCTTTCCAAATTATAAATGTTTCTCCATAAATATTTAATGTTACTCTGCTTATACAATTGCTTACTACAAAACTGTAATGGTATTTTTTTAAACCCCCCCCCCCGATTCTATAAAAGAAATTTTATATTACAGAAATATTAATTGATGATCCATTGACTTTCATCTGGCAAAGTATACATATTTTTTATACACACAGACACACGTCTTAACTGTGTCTCATCCAATTCTTTGTGTTTGAAAATGTAAGTTGGCCTCTTGGTACTTAGTATATTTACCACTGTTATATAAGCTTATATTAGAAGAGTTTATCTTTGTCCTTTATCCCAAATAATTTCCCAAACAGGAATTGTACAACATCTGTGATGATTGTCAGCTTAAGGAAAGATATCAATAAACTAACAATGCAGATAGAAACATAAATGCAAAAAAATAGATATAAATATATGAGGTCTGTTCAGAAAGTATCCAACCACATCATAGGAAAAGGAGACCTTTATTGAACAAGATACAAAATATAAGAAACATTGTACATAGGACAATGATACCTCAGTCCCCTTCAAAGTAGGCACCTTGCGTCCTCACACAGTTCTTCCAATCACCATGATATTTTCCTGAAGCTCATTGATGGTCTTAAATCTCTTCCCTTTCTAAGGTGATTTTAGTTTTGGGAAAAGTAAAAACTCACAGGGCACCAAATCTGAGCTGTAAGGGGGCTGAGTCACCTGGGTGATTTGATTGATGTTTTGCCAGAAAACTCTACATGAGCTGTGAGGTATGCGTGGACATGTTGTCATGATGAAGCTGCCAGTCACCAGTTGCCCAAAGCTATTGCCTTCTGAATCACCTGAACAGTTTCTGCAAAAGAATGTTCAAGTTTAATGTAAACTTTGATGCAGATTCATTGCTCTACTCACTCAGTCATTGTGAATGCAATGGCCACACAGTACACATGCTCACTCAACATCATCTACTTCTCCCCCTGACTAGTACAGTGAAGTTGTCATTATTCATACATGAGCATACCAGTCCACTCTCCATCAACCAGGTTATGTTGATGCCACACAAACCATTCTCATTATATTAACAGTGGCTAGACTTTTTCTAGACCGACCTCATATATGTTCATAATATTTTATAATGACCCAGAAGGTATAGAGTTTAAGACCAGAAATTGTCCCATTTGTTTCAATCTTTCATTAATTAGTGCATAGTTTATTTTGTACTTACAGGAAAGCTGTTATTTGGAAAAAGTTTTGTGTTTCTGGGTACCTTTTTGTTTCAAGAATCAATTGTGTTTTATATTTTTTAAAAATTCTGGACATTCTGTTCTATATATTTGTACTATGACTTGTATATTGCACCTATGGCTAGTACAATAGTAACACATTTTTTGTTACTACCCTTCCTGCTATCATTTACCCTTTCCTTATCATTACAGAGAAAGTTAAAGTAAGTTATGCTTTCTTTTGTAGTTTGAAAGAAAATAGCTATTAAAATATTTTGAGAACGTTTTTAAAGATATTAGTTACTTTAAGAGTTTTAGGTAGTGTTCTTCAAACTCTCGTGAGTATGAGTCACCTGGGGATCTTGTGAAACTACAGATTCCGGTGCAGTTGGATCTGAGACCATGCATCTCCGGACATCCCCATGCTGCTGCTCCACCGACCTTTCTGAGCAGCACAGTCCTGCAGACGAATTGTGTGTATGTAATCCAAAATACTGAAACATCAAGGACAGAGAATGAAGTCAAATACTGTGGTGGACTCCTGCCAGCAGATTCCGCCTGTTGTGGCTGAAAGAGAAAATAAATGCACAGGTGACAGCGATCCTGTGGAGAAAAAGAGGACGGCACGACTACTCTCTCAAGGGGAGAGTGCCCCAACCCTTGCCTAGGCAGGCTTTTATTGTTTTTCTCAGGTCTTACATCAGAGAAAGATTTGTCATTGATTACATAGAATATTATTGTCTACATTCTAGGTACAATCAAGGAAATTAAAATAACATCCAGAGGGGAATGGCGATGAGCTGCTTAGCTCTGTGCTTGGGAAAATTCACACAGGCTTTAGAAATTACCTTGAAGATAGACAATACACATTTGCTGTTTTAGAAAATACATCTGAATTCTTCTCTTTACTCTGTATTTAGAATTTCAAATAAATAGTCCTGGCCAGGTAGCTCAGTTGGCTAGAGTATCATCCCAATACACAAGGTTGTGGGTTCAATACCCTGTCAGGGCACATACAAGAATCAACCAGTGTGAGTGCATGAATGAGTGGAGCAAAAGCTCAATGTCTCTCTCTCTCTCTCCCTCTCAAATCAATCAATAATTTTTTTAAAGAATCTCAAGTAAATAGTATGCATTTATTAAGTTCATTGACTTGATTTATTTATTTTTTATTCTAATGCATTTTTTAGTTCTTTTGACAGCAAGTTTGTTTACCAGCAAAGAGGACTTGGGCCAATTGAAGAAGACACTATTCTTGTCATAGATCCAAATAATGCTACAGTACTCCAGTCCAGGGGGAAAAATCTGTGAGTTACTTAAATGTTGTTATTAAGGCATGTACTACATATAGCTTTGGGCATAAAGTGTATCATTGGGTCAGGTCTCAGGTACAGTGTGTTGTATAGCAGTGGTGAGAAAGCATAGCTTAAGAAGGCAAGAGACTAATTGGGCCATCTCCTCTTTCATTTTCTAGGTAAGCAGTTCTAAACTATGGCTGAATATTAAAATTACCTGGCAGCCTCAGAAAAATTAGATTCACATTTAGTCTAGGACGAGGCCCAGGCACCAGAATACTTTTAAAGCTCCGCATGAGATTCTGACAGGTAGTCATGCTTGAGAGAGCCATGGATACACAAAGCCAGTGAAGTGGGTTGTGGTCAGCTAGATCTGAAGATTGAAAAACAAAGTCTTCAGCAAAAAAAGCTATATAAGCAAATTCATCAAGTAATCACTGTTAAGAAAAAAGGCTTTATTGTTCCATCTCAAAGTGAAGAATGAACAAATGTCCTTTTTATCTTTCCTTAGCATGCATAGGTAATTTGGCTTTGAAAGCCACTCATTATTTGGTATTATTCCTAGATGGTATTTGGCAGCCAAGAAAAAAGTTGGCTGACACTCACTGAACAGGGCACAGTATCTAGAAAGGGACACCTGTTTACAGAGAGCCCTCAGCCATTTTAACCGGGCATCTTCAGGAACTATACCCTACTCTCTTTGCTTAGGCACAAAGAAAGCCAGCTTCTTTGGAAGGCAGGGAGCATCTACTGTGAATATAGCTGCTGTGGAGATGGTAATAGATTTTTTTATAGGATTCTGAGATAGGGAGTCAGGGGCCAAATTCTAATACCAGCTCCACTACTCAGTATGCTTGAACCCGTCTCTTTGGTGCTCAACCCATTAATCAGAAGCACTCTCATTCCAGGAAGGGAGCAATGGCTGCTAAATCAAGTTGGCCAACAGTGGGGTGTCTATATCAAAAGGATATCATAACTCTCACATGCAGTCACCAAAACAGAGATCTAGTTCAATTAATCAAGATCACAGCCTTCACTCTTGGGAGAAAAAAAAAAACTTTCATGCCAGCATGATGCTAATGACAAACAGAGCTTGGAGACTGTCAGATATCTTTTGACCACAACCACATCAAGATATTGTCCATGTGTTTGTTAATTCTATCCAAGTTCCTTAAGTCTGTGAGCTTCTGTCTACATTAGTTACAGTTCTCTTACCCAGATCATCCCAATTGATTCATTAAATAGATTAACCTTCTCTAGTGATTACCCAGCACAGCACTTCGTGTAGCTGAGAGGAGCACAGCCCCTGTCTGCTGAGAGTTGTTTTTGTTGGGTTTTACTGTCTTTAATAGGCACTCTTACAGCTTCAAGTCATATATTTGATGTTTTACATTAATACAGAGTTACATTACCTTACAGTATATTTAAATGATTCAAACTATATAAATCCATTTATATTTCTCTAGACAACTGTGTTTATACACATTTTTCAGATGTTAATATTTATGATCTTAGAACCTGGTTTTGAATTGATATTATTTGTGTTGTTTCATGTACTATACCTTATAATAAATATTTGTAATTTATATGTAGGCTTCATATATAGATTTTTAAATGATTAAATACTGATTAATGTTTGTCGCAAGGAAGTCTTTTTTTGTAACAAGTATTTTCATTTAACAGTTCATTTTGGTCTTTTCTATAGTAATGCAGGTATAAATTTATCAATTTTTATTGACAATTATTTTTATTTTGCAGATTTTACTTGCCACATGGCCTGACTATAGACAAAGATGGAAATTACTGGGTCACAGACGTGGCTCTGCATCAGGTAATCTTCCATGTAGCAGTTATTCAAATATTTCAAAGTTAATGAAGTGTGCTTTCAAAGTGATCTGGCATTATCTGGGTCTTTTTTTCTGTGACCCAGTAAGTTTATAACAAGAAAAAAGAACAGCCACATCTCAAATATTTCTCTTTAGAACTCAGTGCTTTGATAAGTTCATGTGTAAGTGATCGAGTCACCTTTCTTCTTTGAATTTGCAGGAACCTTAAGGCCAGACTCCTTTGCTTTCCATGTTTGCTTTTCTCTGTCTCAGGTCTTAGTTCTATTTCATCACTTATGTTTTATGTTTTCTTTGTTTGATCTTCAGTAAATTGAAGGCAAGGTCTCCAGTACATACATGTTTATGTATAAAACATCAAATTGTTGTCCTTTTTAAATGGAGCTGTATTTCAATCACAGAAGAGTCATAAGGTCTTTCTTCAAAGCAAAGCTCACATTTGATACCTGCTTTAAGAGTAGGTGGCAAAGAACTAGGAAAACTGGGGGCAGAAAAGCTAGAACTCAGAAGACATAGCTACAAACATCATCTCAGTAAACATTTAGTGCTCACGTATTATCTGGCGAGCATCGTGCTGTCAGCTAAGGAAAGGCAAGGAAGTACAGGTGTGGATGGAACAGGACATCCATGTCTTAGTCTTCATTCACCATTAATCACCTGGATGACCTTGAGTAAATCAGTTAACCTCTGTAGCCCTTATTTATCAAATGAAAGGACCAGACCAGATGTTTTCCAGTTCTAAAAGAAGAGTATCTTCTTTTAAATAAGTCTCTGGAAGCTTACACTCTAATTGCCTGTGCAAGTGTTCTTGGTCATGTTGGGTGTGTGCCAATAATAACCAAGCAAGTAAGTCTTTTGTTCCTTTTGAAAAAGGTGTTCAAACTGGATCCAAACAGTAAAGAAGGCCCTTTGTTAACCCTGGGAAGGAGCATGCAACCAGGCAGTGACCAGAATCACTTCTGTCAACCCACCGATGTGGCTGTGGATCCAGACACTGGAACCATCTATGTATCAGATGGTTACTGCAACAGTCGGATTGTGCAGTTTTCACCAAGTGGACAGTTCATCACACAGTGGGGAGAAGGTACTCAATAACACTCCAATTATAATTCTTAGCCAATATCACTAGGGACAGGAGATTAGTACCCCTCACATCACAGAGGATGTACTGTAATTGTCCCCTGTAGTGGGGAAAACAGAGCCTCTATTTTTGCCCTGTTGTCTTATTCACACACACACACACACACACACACACACACACACACATTTAATAAAAAACTTATAGCCTGAAATTTTGTCCAAATAGAAAGTAAATATGTAATGTGTTTGTGGTTAAGAGATATCAATAAACTTATAAACTGCTTTAGGTTATTTTTCCCCTGGTTCAGATATGTAATGGTTTACTGTCATGAATCTGGAAAAGAAAGCTGTGAAGTCAGACTTGGGTGATACTACAGATTGTCTATCTGAAGTTTCTCTTTGTTTTGCAGAGTCTTCAGGGAGCAATCCTGCACCAGGCCAGTTCAGTGTTCCCCATAGCTTGGCCCTGGTGCCTCATTTGGGTCAGTTATGTGTGGCTGACAGGGAGAACGGGCGGATCCAGTGTTTTAACACTGACACCAAGGAATTTGTGCGAGAGATTAAGCATGCATCATTTGGAAGAAATGTATTTGCAATTTCATATATACCAGGTGTTTCATCTTAATTTATTTTTGTGTGTTTTGTCATATTATCTCTGTCATTAAAAATTATTTGTCCTAATGTGCCCTTTTTATAATTTTTTTCTGTATAAATAGGGATTGAAGGTGCCTTATTTATCCGATCTTAAAATAAGTTTAAAACTGTTAGTGCATTGTAAATCTGTTTCAGCTGAAGAATTACTGTTGTTTATGTGGAAATAATGAAGAATTCAAAGATTTAACAACTGTTTTCAATGAGTTAAAAAAATTTTCCCAAACATTGATTTTTATTTTTCCTTAATTATGACAATCTGCTCTAGTTAGTAACTGATTAATATTATGGCTTCACACATCATCAACAGATGGTGTATGCCTGATGAAATCAGTATTCAAAATACCTCTGCTTGACATTTTTTTAAGAAGGCATGGCCATTTTTTAAAGGTAAGTATATAAAATAAGTGAGGCTTATGTCTAAATACCAGGAGGAATGACCAATAAAGTCTGAAATATTTTTCTTATTTTAAAATAGATTGCCTTGACTGGAAAAAAAACAAAAATAATCCAAATTCATAAAATAAGATCTATTTAATTTGCATTGCAAAATAACTTAGCATAATATTTTTTAAATAATGAATACTGAAAAAAATATCTTTAACTTCTAAAAACTATATATAACTTTTTCAATGAATTTTATTAAATATATCTATATCTATATTTGAAGGAGCACTGACTCTTTATAGACATTACTATAATATTTACATTTCTTATACTTTCAAAGTTGCACATGGCTACTATCTTACTGAGCATCCTCTAATTTATTTAGGACATGGAATAAAGGGACTCAGGTGCCTGGTTAAGGAGCAAATTTGGCTTCCTCAAGGAACAAACAGTAAAAAAGTGATAAAAGATTCTCACTAACATCCTTAAAAGAGATAGTCTCATTTTGATATTTACCTCATATTTAAAGAATAAATTTGGCAAAATCATTGACCTAATAAAGAAGGTAATCAAGATCATAATGAATAAAGCAAACCAGCGCTAGCTGGTGTGGCTCAGTGGACTGAGTACCAGCCTGTGAACGGAAAGGTCACCAGTTCTATTCCCTGTCAGGGCACATGCCTGGGTTGCAGGTGAGGTCCCTGGATGAGAGTGTGTGAGGGGCAGCTGATTTCTTTCTCTTGTACATCGATGTTTCTCTGCCTCTCTTTCTTCCTCTTTTTCCTTCTCCCTAAAAATAAATAATAAAATAAAATCTTTTTTAAAAACCAAATCAAATATAAAGAGAAAAACATCAGAAGATGAAATCTGATTAAAAATAGAATCTCAGCAGAATATGCTGTGTATTGTAATTGCTGTTCTCTCTACAATATTGCACAACAGTAACTGATGTTGACAGTGTTGATATTTTTACTGTGAAATGCTAAAAAACCCTATTCTGAAATCTTCAAAGAAAGATAAAAGTATCTTCAATAGTGATTTAGTATCGTATATATTTTGTGTTTTAATTCTTTGAAAATGTAATAATTATCTGAAGTGCTTATTTAACCAAAACATCACCATTTTTATTATTTTTGACAAATACTACTTTAGTGAGAAATATAATTTTCCTAAAAAGCATATTCACTGAATAAATAAAAGATGGTCTAATTTTTTAATTACCAAAAAATGCATCTTTGTTAACATGAAATATGTCTCACATTTTCAAGCCTAAGTTTTTTAAAATCAGATCATTCTTCTACCTATACTATAACTTACTTTCTTAGCATAGTTTCCTCTAATTCTTCTCTTAACTATAACACATCGTACATTATTTTTTTAAGATCTGATATTCCAAAGTGATTTGTTTGAATAACTTGGTTTTCCCAATACCTTTTTAAGATGTCTGTGATACCTGCATGTGTCTATACCTCTACCGATATCTATTGCTAGTGCCAGACCTATACCATCCACTTCTGCATCCTCATCTACATCTACATCTGTGTCTCTGTGCGTATTTCTGTATTCCTCATTTCTAGTGACTTCCTTAGTGGAACAGGCCCAGCATTTTCTGGTTTTCCTATGACAAGGAGGCCAGTTTCCTAACCTGTTTGCCCCTCATCTTGTTACTCAGAAGGAGACATTTGCTAAGTGTTTTATTTTCTACTTTGGTTGCCAATTGTAGGGATCTGATTATTATTTTTGTATTATTATTATTGTTTGTGTAAATGTAAATGCATACATTTTAAGTCTAGTCTTATCCATATTTTTTAAAAAGGTTAACTGAATATCTTGTCACAGGTTTGCTGTTTGCGGTGAATGGGAAACCTTACTTTGGGGACCAAGAACCTGTACAAGGATTTGTGATGAACTTTTCCAGTGGGGAAATTATAGACATCTTCAAGCCAGTGCGCAAGGTATTCACATATCATACAATGCCTAGATATCCATTTTCATGAGAGTAAAAAAAGCAAACATTGGCATTCAACTTGTACTTGTATAATCTTTTAAAAACTTTAAGGACATGTGAACAATTTCCTAGGTAGGTTGGTGGGCATGTTCTATTACAATGTTTATTTGAATAAATGTTCTTCTGTGTTCCAGTCAATTTCTTCAGATGCAAATTAACACTGAACACATTTCTAATGTTCTTAGTAGTAGACTTCGCATACAGTGGCAGTTTTAAATTCACTGTAGTTAGAATACCAAAAAAATGAGTCTTTTCCGGTGTCATCCTAGTAGAGAAGATAACACAATATGTTAAACTGTACTTTTACAGTTCTCTTAGATCCAACAGAACTCTTGTTTGCTTTTTTAATACCATGACTACACCGAGCAACAAGTCTTAAAAATAGCACTTCCTGGAATTTATTCAAGTCTCGTATGGCCTAGGTAGGAGAGGAAAGGCTAGTTTTGGCTTCACACATGGATCGCCGCTGTTTACTCTAACAGTGCCCTTTACAAGTGTGAGTACGGGCCCAGTGTGCCCCAGCCCTGTGTCTCCTCAGTTCACTTCCTCTGCACTGTGATCCCCAGAATGGTCAGGATGTTCACACACACTGCCTGAGTGTGTGTGAACACAGGGCGGGGCCTCCCCCTCGAGAGCAGTTTCAGTGAGAGTTATAGAACCTGATTGGAAGCAAACAGAATCGGAACTTCAGATTCCAGTACAAGTTCCCTGTTTGGGCTTCTATTCATATATAAGAAATGAGAGTTTTTCACAGAAGTATTTAACCTGAAAAGCAAAAAGCAATCAAATATCAAATCACAGTAGCCCTTCAGAAGGAAAATGACATTGGGAACTTATTTTACTTCATCGGTGTTTCGGGTCCCTATTGATTATCCAATCATTGTTTTGCCACTTTGAGCTTTCTCTTATCTATTGATAAAGTGAGAAGTTTAACTTTATTTCAGGCCTTCACTTTGTATTAGTCTGCCTTGATTTTTCTTTGATGATAATGTACTGTATCGACCAGGATATTAAGTCTTAATTTAAATATGCATCTAGAAACCAAAACTAACTGCTAAACAAGAGGCTAAATTCTAAATGAGCCTTACTTTCAAAAATGTGAATGCCCCTGAATTTAAATTTCAGAAAGCATTGGGCCTAAACATCAGCATTCGTTAGACATTCATTGGTGAATGAGTCACAGTATACGGATTAATACAGCAAGCTTGAAAAGATTACAACTCCAAGGTGAAATTTGCTTTTTCCCCTCAATAAACAAGACTTGGTATTACACCAGAACATAGAAATTTGTTCTGTGTTCACTCAGTAAACTGAAATCAGTTCACAAATCTCTCATAATTTTCATTTAATTAGATTATCATCACAAAGATTAAATGTGGGTGACAGAAATAATAAGGTGCATCGACTCCAATATGAGAAGATATTCTTCTTTCAAGCTTTACATAATGTGTGTGAGCCTCTGTTTGTGCCTGTCCACTACTTGTCTCCTCATGTACTTCAATTCTCCCTCTTCTATTATTACATTCTTTAGACACGGTTTTATCTTGAATGTATGGTCTTCATCTTTATATCTATGCAGGGAAGCTGAGACAGTCGGACAATAAAGAAGATGGTTCTAGCAAATGCTGTCAAAAAGCTATGAGGGCAAAGGCACATAGTTCCTCCCTTAATTCCCCCCACTCCCAATCACAGGAAAGACTTATGGTCTTTATCATCTCGTTCACACACAGCCTCGGGCTGCCATTGTTTTGTCTTCTCTCTTCTGCACAGCAGCTCGTGTGGAAAAGGAGGGAAATGATCCCTAACCCTCCATACAAAACAGCAACGGCAACAATACTCCAAGTAGGCCCGGATTTATGCTATTTCTCCAAGTTTAATGATAGAGATTAAAAATTACAATGTTTACCAATATTTGAGCAGAAAGGTTCACATAAGTTAAAGTACTTACTCAAAGCTACACAGTAAGTAGCACACCTGGATCTCAAACCTAGGTCTGCATGACCTAGGTTTACCAAGGGATATTCTCAACCACAATATAAACTTGCTGCTGCCTCTTAGAGAACTATTTTACTTAATATTAAGTAAGTTTCAGCATTGTTTTATGTTCTAGCAAAGAAGTTATGATATAGAGAACACAAATTCCTTATGAATTTTGAAACCAAAACAACAGATTTTGAGGGCAGGTTTCCCTGTGCTGCATCACCTGATGGCTAAGGAGGATACCATCGTTCTTTTCTCTCATCTATTTTATTTTACTAGGGAGGAGTATCTCAAAGGAAGAGTTTACAAAGCCTGTATCAGTAGATCTTTTATCCATTCAACTCTGAAATCCTAAAACTTACAACATATTTTTTTTTCAAGTGACACAGAGCAGCAGACTAGTTAGTTCATTAAAAAGATTACCACAGAGTGCTTCTGATTGTACTAGTATTAGAGGGCCCAAAGTCCCATCCACTAAGCCTCCACTGAGCCCTGCTAATGGCCCCAAAGAACAGAGCCCTTGTCTTTCTGTACCAGTTTAAGAATCACAGACAGAGGCTATTGCTGTTGTAGCCTTGAACTACAAGGCTACAACATTGACACACTGCAATTTGCTGATCAACAGTTCACACAGTCCCCCTCACCTTTATTCTCTATACCTATTATAATATTTTTCCTATTGGAAACTGTGAAACAATTTACAATCATATATTTTGCAAAGCAGTTTTTAAGAACGTCTTTTGATATGGAAGAGGAACTGCCTATAATTTGCAAGCCAGTTGCCACCCATTAACTGAACCCAAAGTAAAAATGAACATTAAATGACAGGCTCACAAGATTTCAGCAAGGCAACATTTTGATTTCTGGCTCTCTGTCCTTCTCGTGCACATTTGTCACAGCTCATTTGATAGTATGAAGGAATGAGCCTCCTTGGCGCTGCTGTCTCATTTGTCTTTACATCATGACAAATTGTTGCTGATTTTTAAAGCAGAGTAGTATCTCCAAAGCCTGTATTCTGCCCCTCCTAAAGTGAGCTAAGCACTGCAGTTTGTCTCATTAGCGTCCTTTGTACTCAACAAACCACAGTGGGCAGATGCTGGTTGATAAGCCAGTCAGGATAATGCTCCTGTTCGTAGTCACTAGTCAATTGTTGAGGACCATGTCCTCAGATAGGCCTGCTGGCCCCAAAGATAAAAGTGTCATCCACGTCCTGCAAAGTGGCAGACACGTGGCACCTTTGCAGGTTCAGCAGACAGATGGCAATGGCAGCAGCACAGCATTTCAAGGCTGCTCTTCAGGAACTAGCATGGTGACCCTGAATCCATCTGAAAATATGGTTTTTAAAAAGTGCTTCTCTGTCTTCTGTGTCCTTGGACTGAGATGGTGATGATAGAGATGGAAATATGCCATGAAAAAAGGCATAGAGAAACACCAAATATCTAAGTAGATACCAAAGCTGAGGAAGTACTTAGAGGTAACACTCAATGAGTTTCCTTTGTTAACTGAAAATATTGTAAACTGGGCTTCATAGTATAAAACCCCACACTGTTGCCTATCTCCTGGCATGCATTTCAGAAACGATCTGAATGCCCTGAATTTTTAAAATGACTTCTCTTATCAGTGATGTATAAATAGTTTTTAAGGTAGCACATGATAGTTTGACTTGCATAGATTGAAACAGGCATATTTGACAGTGATTAAAAAAGATAGAAGACACATGAACACATAAAATAAATATAAATAAATAGATAACAATGCAACACCAAGTAATCAGTACTGTAAAAAAATAATCTGCCCTGGCCAGGTGACTCAGTTACTTGGACATTGTCCTATAAACCAAAAGGTTGCAGGTTCAAACCCTGGTTGGGGCAGGTACAAGAAGCAACCAATCAGTTTGTCTCCTACATAGATGTTTCTCTCTCCCAACCTCTCTCTTTAAAAATCAATTAACAAACATATCCTCGGGTGAGGCTTATAAAAATAATAATAATGTACTTGTAAATGTTCACTTTTTTATTTTTTTATTGTTGTTCAATTACAGTTGTCCCCATTTCCCATTTTTCCCCCATCACTTTCCCCTGCCCTACCCACCCCCCACCTCTTGTATTCAATCCTCCCCCTTCCGCCCCCTGTTCACTTTTTCAAAGATTTGAAAGTCAGTGGTAAGTGTCTCTTAGCATTTCCCAATACACAGGATTGTGCGGGGCAGAGTCAGTGCCCGGAGGATGAATGAGTGACTCTGCTTGGCCCAGAGTTGCTTTGATGGGAATTCTTGGTTGTTTTGGTTTGGTTTGGTTTGAGTAATATGCTTATTGTTTTGTTGAGTGCTTTGCTTTGTTTCTCTGTCCTTTTGTGGAGAATCTGAGCGTAAGCTCACCCCCTAACTTGTGCTTCTCATTTGGGCAGCACTTTGACATGCCTCACGACATTGCTGCCTCTGAAGACGGGACTGTGTACGTCGGAGACGCTCACACCAACACTGTGTGGAAGTTCACCTCAACCGAAAGTATGGTTTTTACAATATTATGCTGCATATTTTCCCCCTCCGTTTTATTACTCAAAAACGGAGTAATGCATTTTCTTTCCTTTTAATTGATAGGAGTGGGAAATCAAGGTATAAGTGGTAATTGTCAAAAGACCTGTTTGGTATTTATTTCCAGAAATAATTTTTTTAAGTGAAGAGAAACTTTTTTGCTGCCAGTTAGCCCCTTGTTTCCACAGATATTCCACAGGAAATTCTTGATGCCTGACATAATGTCTGTTATCCTGAAAGCCAATCTTAATTCCAGCTCAGTTCCAGAGGGAGGGAGATGGCTTTGGCAAGGCAGAGGGGCGGACTGGTTTCCACACAGGCACTACTTCCTTAGCGACTCTCCAGCTCTCCATAGCTGCCAAGCACCTACGAATGCCAGTGTCTGTGTTAGACACAAGTTATCTGAAATGGGAGGCACCCTGCATTTTCCCTTCAGGCTGCAGCTTACTCAAAATTCTGAACTGCTCTATTTTTATGTAACTCAAAAGTATGTATGGGGACAGAAGAGTTTCCCTGTCAGGGTCAAGCCTGGTAGTATGGGGTTTTCTAATTGCAATTTGTACATTATTTCTAACTCTTAAGAAGTATACTAACCTAGCATCTGATATAAGACTAAAAATGTAAACTTTATAAATTAAAGAGCACTGTATGCTTAGCAAGCCACAAACCTCAACAATATCCAGACATGCTTTTAAAACATGGCAGGGTCCAAACGAAGGGGTTAAGGAGAAGAATTGAGAATGATAAATTTCTGGTATTGGAATCTGCAACAGGCAGTTTTAGAGAAGTGATAAGGACAGGTAGGCTTGATGAAGATAGGAAATGCTAAGTGAAATGAGGAAAAATGCAAAATATAAGAAGGAAAAAGTATGAGTTATAACAAAGAAATCAGACACTATACACGTCTTGGACCCCAAGTCGACTTAGTAACTGTTGTCTTCAGCATTAGCCTTTGAGTAACTCTTGCTGTTTTTGTAACGAAGACCCACTTAGGTTGAGTGCACAGAGGCGCCCATGGAACCCTTGCATGGACCCGCCTGCCTCCTCAAGGAGGAGCCAGAAGATGTGGGCAGACAGGAAAATAAAGAGAGATGTATAATTCCAAATTGCATGACTAAACCCAGGTTTTTCAGAATAAAAAATGAATAAAAACATTTCGAGGTGGAAAAGACTTCCCGAAATCTAGCCAATATCTTCATCTTGCAGATAGGAATGGGATACTTGAGCTCATTAAGATTCCAGTCTTAGGCTCTTTATTCCACTTTGGTGGTTGGTACTCTGCAGAGATGTCTGTCTGAGCCACCTACGGAGGATTTTCAGCATACTCCTGGCCAGACCCCACTTGAGATGAACAGAGAGAAGAGGAATGATAATGTGTGTATTTTGGAAAAGCTTCCCAAGTGTTTTTGATACAGCCCCTGATTGAGAAGCATTGCGATACAGCTTTCACCTGCGAAAATAGAAAAGCTCTCTGCATAGTCCAGAAAGTAACCAAACAATAAATCAGGAAAGTACTACCGTTGGAACAGTGTGACTGCCATCAAAGGTTAAACAAGTGTCTTGTGTATTGCATTCTAGTATCTAACTAATCAAATCCATTTATGTCATCTAGAAGACTGGTAATCAAATATGGCAGAACTGGTTATCTCTAAGATGTCCACATGAAACAGAACTACTAGATATTTCAGAAATAAAACAGTATTGTGAACTCCATAAGGAAAATCACATTTTAAATATTAAGACCTTAGAAATATTATTTCAGCTTTTCCTAGATTTTATCCAGGATTCATGGACATGGCACCTAATTAGTGATTTCTATTAAACTCTTTTCTAATCTCATAATGAATTTTATTAATTAAGGAAATAACTTCTACTGAGTAAAATTAATATCAAAATTAAGTTTTCAAATGTTCTTTTTGGGGATTCTGATTCCCTGTGCCTTTGCTGTTCTGTGTTACAGAAATGGAGCATCGGTCGGTTAAAAAGGCTGGCATTGAGGTCCAGGAAATCAAAGGTTGGTCAGTCCTCATGACTGTGAGACCCAAGGCTACTGTGTTGAATTATTGTATAGCTCTTGATTGCACTTAAAAATCATCAAGCTAAAAATACCTGGTAAATTGTCAATAATTTCTGCTGTGTACTGAGCCTTTAAAGCTACTTGTTTCCACTGCTTTTCCTGGTAAATGGAGTAGTGATCGTGATCTCAAAGTCACTGATTTCAGGTGATGAAAAGTGATGGAGGATGATAGAAATCTGTAACAAATGGGCTAGAAACATTCAGCAAAGAAAAAGCAAATAAATTAGTAACTTCTGTAAGTACGTTAACTTCAAGCAAGCAGAAAAATACTGTTCAGCATACTGGAAAAGGTCTTTTCCTAATGGTATCTATTCTAAAAGAGTGACAAAGGCCTTTGGTGAGTTAGTACTATAAAGTCCTGAAAAGATTAGCTGCTCCCCAAGCTTCTATCTTAATATCATTTAGCCCCCAACATTTACTGGGGGCTGTTGACATGTAAGGCACTGCGGCAGGTTTAATGGAAATGAAACTGTGCCTGACTTCAAGAGACTTACAGCCTGTAAGGAGTGTTTATGTGTGCACATATATATACATACATACAAATAAGTATGTCATTGGTGTATATTATTGGGAATGTGTAGATGAAATTAAGCTACTGGTAAGCAACCATGTGGTTCATCTGGAATTCCTGTCAAATTATTTTCTCTCTTGCTTAGGGCCAGTTTGTAGTTACACATTTTGCACTATCTGCAGGGTTTTGTCATCATCATATATATACACTTACTAGAGATGCTCCTAATGTTTGAGTAGCAAAGTGATTCCATTATTAGTTGTTTTACAAATGATTCACCTAGATATTCAGACTTAACACTAGTCTTATTTTCCTTTCTCATGAAAGCAGGTGGAAAAGAGATGAAAAGAAGCAAGAACCGAGAGGGAGTTTAGGGAGTTTATGTAGGCAGATAAGAAAATATAACTGGCTCAAGGTTGAAAGGGGTAAGATAATATTATAAAATAAGTAGCAATTATTTGGCATTTGTAGAGATTTCTACCCATGTGACATTACTGAGTGGCATTCATACCACACTTATATAATGAAGAAGTTCCTGATCCCCTATTTTTATCATTATATATAGAATTATTGATAAGCTCTGTTTGCTCTGGAATAAAACTGTTGGGAAAGATGATTAATAATAGCTATCATTTCTGGAGCACCAACAATGGGCTCCACAGAATTATCAAGTTGAATCTGTACACCAACCAGGTGGTAATTGCCATTAACCCACTTTACATGTGAGGAACTGAGGATAAGAATTACTACTATGATAATAAGTGGTTAAGTTGGCTTTTAACCAAAGTCTGTTTTGTGCCAAAGCCTGTGCTCTTAACCACTATTACTATACTGCTGAGGAGAAATGAATCCTACCAATTCTTTACCATAAATTCTTCCAAGAACTATAGATTGGAGAGAGTTGTAGATTACTCTGAGTTATCTGGGATTTCAAAGTGGCCTCAAACCATTTCTGTTTAAATAGATCCTACCAAAAAAATCTAGATTGTATTGATTGGCCTGTTGAGAAGAACCATCCACACTGACCTCATCTTGGCTGGTGAATGAGGGGTGAATGATGCTCTCCTGTAGTTCATTTTGTCTCTCCTCAGTGCATGCTACTGAGTCCATTTGATTGAGAATCCTTTCAGCCTATGGCAGAAGGCAGCAGTTTGAACAAGCAAATTTTACTGAAGTGCCTTTTCATGATGGTCACAATTAATAGTTAGAAATATCTGAACTCAAAAGAAGTTGTTCTATTCCTTTCTGAACCCATATGACTCTCATTAAAACTCTGTCTTTTAAAATTTCTTTAATAAAGGATGATAGCCTTGGCTAATGTGGGTCAGTTGGTTGGAGCATTGTCCTGTAAACCGTAAGGTCGCCAGTTTGATTCCCAGTCAGGACACATGCCTGGTTTGCAGGTTTGGTCCCCAGCTGGGGCACGTGCGAAAGGCAACTGATTGATGCTTTTCTCTCATGTTGATGTTTCTCTCCATCTCTCTTCCTTCTGTCCCCTCTCTATGAAATCAATAAGCATGTCCCTGGGTGAGGATTAAAAAAAAAGGAACATAAATCATGTTGGATCTCCAGAGTTTGTCCTTTACCAAAATCTAAAAGCTTCATTTAAACCACCCCTTACAGAAAAGAGAGAAAAACACCATCTTAGATTGGATAGCCTTTTAGATGCACAGTAATTGTAAATTTCCAAATTTGAGTAACCTTTGATTATCCTTGCCCCAGCTGTGAATGGCAGTGTTTCAGAACCAGTGTTGTGTTCTCAGGGAATTGCAGGGATAAAATAAGTTGTGATGATAAGAAACCTAGGAAAAAAATTTAAGTTTCCAAATAAAGTTACCAGGGATAAAACAGATATACCAATATTCCACCAAAAGTATAGCCTTTACACCTCCTCCACCTCACAGTAAAGATGATGACACTCAAAGCGCCAGAAAGGGTGTGGAAATCAAGGCTTTCTACAGTGAAATGTGTGTATCTTAGCAAGTTCATTACATCATTCTCGGCACACATTCCACAACTGTGAAACTGACTCTTTTAGGCTGTCGCCTACTTTATCCGTAATGGAGCCCAGTCCCAGCTCTGCCTTATAAAAGAAACTAGATATGAGCTGCTACAGCCAGTGTCTTAGGTGTAGGTAAACATACTTCATGACAAATAGAAAACTCTAGGTAATTTCTCTGGTTATAGTCACTTTCAAATAGAAATAACCTTTCACTTTGGCTAGTATGGCTCAGTGGATTGAGTGCTGGCCTGTGAACCAAAGGGTCACTAGTTCAATTCCCAGCCAGGGCACATGCCTGGGTTGTGGGCCAGATTCCCAGTAGGGGGTATGTAAGAGACAACCACACATTGATGTTTCTCCCCTTCTCTTTCTCCCTCCCTTCACCTCTCTAAAAATAAATAAGTAAAATCTTAAAAAATAAAAAAAACCTTTCTTCCAAGACAGCAAGTTCTTAATTGCTAATCTATATCTTTGCCGTTTGTTTTTAAAATCCTATTGTCTATTTTTTTTGTTATTCTTCTGCTTAAATATAGAATAGGCTTAAATATTAGCAACTTGTATACCTTTTCTAGAGTAATAAAGAAAAAAACAAAACAGTGGTTAGGAAGAGTAAGAGTCACATTTGTATTCCTCATGGAAACTGAGACTTAGGTTAAATTGAGCCATCTAGATTTATGAACCAATCCCTTTCCTCCTCTCCCACTGAAGTTTCAAGAGCCACTCTGTTTGACAAAAGAGGAAAAATAATGGTCTCTGTTTAACCATAGTACAGGGAAGAAAGTGAGGGCCATGACAAGCCATCTGTAAGATGGTGATGATAATACCGCCTACACATCAGTTTGGTGTGATGATTAAATGACAACAATGCCTTATGTAGCTTTAAGTGCTCAGTGGGTATCATTGAGACTGTGAAGGAGGCTGGCTCAAAACACTGAAGCAAAAAGCTGGGACCTGCCATTTGTGTATATGATAAATTGTGTTTACAGTGTCTTAAGTAATTTGAGAAATGCTTCTTTAGAAAAGTATCCAGCAAGCTACTAAGCTGTTTCTATGTATATTAAACTTTTTAAAAAGTTTTCTACTTATTTAATTTTAGAGAGGGGGAAGTGAGGGAGAAACAGAAGGAGACAAACATCAATGTATGAAAGATACATCAATCCGTTGCCTTTCACATGCACCCAACTGGGGACCTGGCCCACAACACAGGCATGTGCCCTCACTGGGAATGGAACCAGTGACCCTTTGGTTTGTGGGCTGACAATCCACTGAGCCACACCAGCCAGGGCCATATATTAAATTTCAACCAAAGGTTTTCCTGACAAAGTTAAACCACCTATCCCTGTGGTTTTGTCAAAATTTCTATGAGGTCATATGATTCAATTTGTATCATAATAAGGTAGAAAGGCACCCCCAAAAATTGAGGTTCCAGAAACTGAGCATTTTGGCAAACATGGCTGTGTCTTCTAGCCGTTGCACAGAAGGGTTTTTATACCAACACACATCTGTGCTTCTTCAGGGCAAGAATGTCTCAAGGCTCAAGTCATTTTCTTTTTCTTTTTCACTAAATAATTTATTTTGGATGTGTATCAGATTTTGAATCCAGAGCTCTTAACTTTTATAGATTATATAGGTTGTAATATAAAAACAAAAAATACAGCACACTTACTCTTTAACATAAGAAGGTGAGAATAACATCAGGGGACCAGTGCACACTGGTTTTCCATACAAGATCGGGCACGTTCAGGGTGGTACAGCTGTAGACTGCACTGGTTTTTGCAATGCCCTATTCAAATTATTACTGCTCCACAACTACTCCAAAGTTTGCTTGCCTAAAAATTAATTTAATATGTTCATGGATTTAAGTGGTCAGAAATTTGGATAGATCATAGTAGGAATGTCAAGTCATTTTCAAGTCAATAGTTATTAAGATCCTGCATCAGGTTATGCAGATTTATTGTATCAATTTCCCAAATAGCCCTTTAAGTCTGATAGCTACCTAATACCTTCCAGTATCACAGAATAGTTACATAAGTTGTTTTCATCAAAAACAAAAGGATGTGTAGTGCATCTATGTGCATTTACCATTTGCTAGGAGCTATAGGAAAGAATCTGGAAAGGATACTTTCCAGTTTGTAATCCTAGAATTAGAGTGTGCAACTATGCATGTGATATACAAATAATTCATTGCACATGAAAGAGATTCATAAACTAAAGGTAAAAGGAAACAGATTATTAAACCACTTTTTTATGGCAGTTTTATAAAAGAGGTATGTCATATCACAGTTTTACAGATGTGGTTACTAAAGCCCAGATTATTTAAGTAACTTGCCCAAAGTTACACAACTACACAGGTACCTGGGATTGAAGGTCAAATTCACTTCACTTCAGCCTGCACATTAGTTGTGTCCTCTACACCATGCTGCTGGCTAATTTAATCTTTGAAAAAAAATGCAAAACGATATAGTTTTTGTGGAATTATGGCTAAGAGGAAATAAAACATAGAGCCAAAGAAAACCAATTTAAAGGTAAAAAACCATTCAGTGGCAATTATTAATTATAATACGTGCTGCCAGATTTTTAGGTAAAGACATTGAAACATGAACCCAATATGCATAAGACTCAATGAGATCTTTATGAGCAGTTGTTGATTTGCCCGGGGCCTGTGGGAGGGTTTTGGAGTCTTTGAATCAGTTGAACATTGTGAACTCTTCTTTCCCTGAAGAATCCGAGGCAGTTGTTGAAACCAAAATGGAGAACAAACCCGCCTCCTCAGATTTGCAGAAGATGCAAGAGAAACAGAAAATGATCAAAGAGCCAGACTCCGGAGTGCCTGTTGTTCTCATTACAACCCTTCTGGTTATTCCGGTGGCTGTCCTGCTGGCCATTGCCGTATTTATTCGGTGGAAAAAATCAAGGGCCTTTGGAGGCAAGTAAAATGAGTCCCTTGAACTTGGAACCTTTTGTGTGTGTTCTCTGCCTTATTTGATGTCACTGTCTATGTTCCAAATATTGTTTATAGTTAGTATCACAGTAGAAAATATATCTGGAGCCTCAGAAATTTGGATAGTTAGATTAAAATATAACTTCTAATTTTGCTTTTTAGCAACTGGCTTAAGCCTAATTAATATCTCCAGACTACATAGATAAGCACAGTCAGGGTAAATTAGCTGAAGGGTCAGGAAGGAGGCATTCCTTGCTATTAGAAACAGGCCCAGTCCTCAAAATAGTGGGGTCTCACTTGGGGAGTTCTATTTCTCCCCACCTGCTGGACCTGGCTCTAGCTCTTAGCTCCTCGACCTTGGGCAAGTTACTTAATTTCTCTAAGCCACAAGTTTCCTCATTTGTAAAGTGGGAATAAAAGACTCAGTCAGGTTGTATAAGGATTAAATGAAATAATTTACCTAAAGGATTTATCTCAGCACGTAGTACCTAGTGTTTATTATTACAGAATAATCATTGGTAATAAAGTAATAAATGCCATAAGAAGCCAAAAAAGATACTTCTGTTAAACCTCGGCTTTCTCAGGAAACCACCTATTTCTATAACAAGCCATTTGGTAGTTTTTAAATAGTCACAAATTAGGCCATCAGCCTTTCCTGACCATACAAGGCAAGGTCCAAAACTGCAGTCTGTAATTTATCAAATCATTATCACAGTCCAGAACCCAGGAGCTAAGTTCCTTTTAGGACATTCAAACAAATAATTCCACCTGTGATTCTCACCTCTCAGGAGTAGTCCCTTGGCTGGGCCCCCGGGTCCTAGGGCAAGAATCTACAGCTACGTCTGGAAGGAATCCGTGGGCCAGGGTGGGAGGCAGCATTTGATCAAGAAACAGCATCTGATTTGATCTCAGGCCAAGGTGACCATGGCTGGCGTTCAGTGCCCGTGGCACAGAAAAGGACACAGAAACAAAAACAAGAGGATTCAATTTAATAGGATGTGAAAGAGAGTTTTCCTAGGACTTTCTTTTACTTTTCATCTGCAATCAATAAAGCTCTGCACAAATATAGTTAACTCTTCCTCTGGAAGACTGCTATGGGTAGGGAACTTGGTAAGCAGAGGCAAAGATTAAAAAAAAAACAATTCAGTCATTGTTTTCATGGAGTTAGATGACAGCTTCAAACAGCACGAATCTTGTATGTTTGCTGGTTCATTGATATATCTCCAGGACAAATAACAGGTCCTGGCAATAGGGGTTCAATAAATAATTGTTGGAAGAGTGACCAAAGAAATAAATGGAGCTCACAGAATAGATGACATGTAAAAAAGAGATGATACATAAAATTGGTAATCAAGGGTGGTAAGTGCAGTGATAACTACTTACCAGGAGTATCAGGAACATGAGGGGGCTGGGGACAGGTAGCAGAGCAAGAGAGTCCATAAGCAACTTACACTGGACGAAGGAACAGCTGTGGAGTCAAGAAAGTCTGGCTTCTCCTGTTTGCTGTTGAGCGCAGGTGACCTGGCACTACCACAGAATGCGAGTCCACACAAGTGTGTTGGGAAGGCAGAGACCCAGGTCAAACCATATGAACATACTATTATACAATCACATTTTATTTAGAAAAATAGTAGTTTTATATATGTTACAGTCTGGCACATTTAATTCTAAAAGGAAATCAGTCTCATATATTTTTTTCAACATTTGCTCTTGATCTTATCCAATCTATGAGAGGTTTTAGTAACCCTCATAAAGGACTTTCCATTTATTCAGCACACATTTTTTGCATGTTAGCTCCACATTGGACACCGTAGTGGACTTGGGCAGTGAAAGACTGTCCTGGTCCCTTACAGAACTTCTAGTCTGATGTGCTGGCTTTCTAACAGTCTTAACTAGATTCCTCTTCCCTTTTTTCCTATTTCCCTCTCAGCCCACTCTGCTGCCTCTCCTGTCTTATCTACCTGCTAGCTTTCTCCATAATGCTGCCTCCCTTTTTGGTTAGAGACTTCATAGTGAATCCCAAGCCTCACTGTCCTGACACAACTCTTCAGGAAGCTGGAAGCCAGGTCAGCAAGTGCAGGGAGATACCCAGCAATAGGAAAAATGCAGTCTAGCTGGAGTTCCGCCTCCCCATGAGGAAAGAAAGTTGATCTTTCATGGAGATGGGCAGCCCCATGGGAGATATTTGGGTCACCTTGTGCGATTGAAAATAGGGTTTCAGGTCCTTTGCCTTAATGTAAGTCACATGAAAGGGAAGTGATGTGCACGATCGCAAGCTTTCTCAAACAGGGCATTACTGTTCTTCATAGAAAGACTAAAGAAAGCCTAAGGCAAAGATTTCTAAATTGCAATGATGACAACTTCCCAAATTTTACAAATTACTGGTAATTTAGTTTTGTCCTAATAAAAATAAATAATGTTTATTGAGCAATTATTGCATACTTAGCAGGCACTGTTCTGTATATGTTAGAGGCAGCACCCATCTGAATTTTACAGATAGGCAGAGATTGTCATTGCTCCCTGATTCTCATAGGGGGAAACTGAAGCTCAGAGAAGTAGTTGATTGAGATTGCACAGCCTGGAAGACACGGGCAGGACTCACACCCAGCTGTGGCCCTTATGTGCATCACAATAATATATTACTTTTTTTTTCTTGGAATTGAATGGAGACTAGAGCCAGACCTTGGTAATCATTTATGAATTCCTGAATTTGAAATGAAAGTTGAGCCCATGGATTGAGGAGGGTGATTGAGACTCATTTTGAAATGTGCCATCTTTTTCTAGCAGATTCTGAACACAAACTCGAGGCAAGTTCAGGAAGAGTGCTGGGAAAATTTAGAGGTATGCCTGTGACCTTTTAGAATCCTTCACATTTGGTTCAAAGTCAACATGCTCATGTCTTTTAAAGAGCAAGGAGATCATTTGTATTTTCTCTCCAAAAATTAAACCCCTGTGTGCAGCATAGCACCTCCCAGCATTAAATGCAGAATGTAAACTATAAAGTAAACCCAAGTGTGTGGCCCTGGCGGCAACTTTCTCAGTTTCATTTCCCACCTTGCCGTTCTATATTTCTAATTCTCTTCCCCTGCCTTTTATCTGACTCCATCTGTCTTCAGTAAAGTTTCTGTCATTCCTGTCAGCATGTCAGTGCTTGTCATCGTAAAGATGACCTTTTCATAAAGTCACTGAAATGAAGAGCTGCCTGTGGGTGCCAGTTCCCCAGAGCCTAGAAAAAGCAGGAGGTGAAAAGTGAATCTGAAATAATCCTGCAGAATCACGTAATCCTGGGGAAGTTTGTATTTCCTTATGTATTTCAATACACGTGTGGAGTAGTACCTGTCATTCTTTTTTGTTCATCCCCACCTTCCAACTTTGTTTACCATTTCAGAATTTACAAAAAAAACAGAGAATCATTTGTGTAAACTTCATCTCAATTCTATGTTAATTGTTTTCTTCAGGAAAGGGAAGTGGAGGCCTAAACCTTGGAAATTTCTTTGCGAGCCATAAAGGCTACAGTCGAAAAGGGTTCGACCGCCTGAGCACGGAGGGAAGTGACCAGGAGAAAGATGAAGATGACGGCAGTGAATCGGAGGAGGAGTATTCTGCACCACTGCCCGCCCCTGTGCTTTCCTCCTCCTGAAAACTGGGCGACCATGAGATTGATGAAGTTTATCAGGAATGCCAGATTCCTTTCTCTTTAGCACGTTTAGAGTTTTGTGTATTTAACTGTAAACCGTACTAGTATGTGTGGGACTGTACACCTTTTATTTACTTCATTTTTGCTTAGTTGGTTTCTGTTTCCAGTTGAAAAGTTTCCTAAAAGTTCACAACAGTGCCATTGTCTATATATGAACATAGAATAGAGAAACAGCTCTCTTCTTCCATCACACTACTAATTTGTGATGGAAGGTTTGTTCATTTACATTTTTGAGACTCTTCTGTAGATGTAAATAACACCATTTTCTGCTTGAACACAGTATTTTCCCATTAGCGCTTCCATTGCCAATGTCTTTCTTTGGTGCCTTTTCCTGTTCAGCATTCTCAGCCTGATGACGAAGCTGCTAAATCTCCTTCTATTTTTTTAAAATCACTAGCATTATATTGCAACAAAAGAAAGAAAAAAGTCTCTATTTAAATTCTTTTTTTTTAATTTTCTTCTTCGGTTGGTGTGTTTTTGGGATGTCTTATTTTTAGATGGTTACACTGTTAGAACACTATTTTCAGAATCTGAGTGTAATTTGTGTAATAAAGTGTTTTCAGAGCATCAGTTGTCAGAGTATATTTTGCAATTTCTGCATATTTCAGGGTTTTATATATAAATTTTGTATAAATTACACAAACCACAGATATAGTGAAACCTACTCAATGTCTTCAACTGGTAGAAATGTTATATTGTATTAAAATTAAGAAGATATTTTGTTATGTATCCAATATAAATTAAAAACCAGCCAAGAGTTAACATACGTGTGTAAAACCAGGCCCTCTTTTAAAATTCGAAGAGAGTTTTTGCCTGTTTGTCAATCAGAAGGTAAATATTTTAATAAAACATGATCGGAGCTAAGAGGAAAACTGTCTCAAATTACATATGCAAATGAGTTAATCTGTGTAAATTGCTAATAGTTTCTTTTTAAAAGAATAATCTTAAACCATCTTTTTCATATTCCAGCAATGCAATTTAGTAAGAAGTTGGTAATTTTTGTTTTTGGAAGAGACTCTAGAACTCTTTAATTCAGATATTGTAGTAGTTGGGATGCTAGTGGTTTAATTGACTAGACTAATCTTGAAAACAATGCAGGCTCTTTTGCTAAAAATATAATGTCTTTCAGCTATGTTATATAGGAAATCTAACTTAACATAGACTTATTTTCTTTCATAATTGATACCAAAGAGGATCTGATTAAAAGAATTGTCACTTCTCATGTTTACTTCACCTTATTAAAAATGTTTTTGCTCTTATTTTTTATTTATTTATTTTTTTGTTAATAGCAGTAGTTTTATTATTTATGTTTATCATTATAATTTACCTTAGGCACCCTCCCCAAGTAGAAACTTTGAGTTTTTTGATTCCTGTGATCTTCCTTCTTAAAAGAAGAATGTATTTGTCCTATTTCTGACCACTCACTTGTTTATGCCCCTTTCACCACATCAGTGGTAATCATGTAAATAATGATGAATGCCTAATTCTGTCATTACACTTTCATTAGCTGGCTTTCTTCAATAAATGACTGAGAGTTTTACTGACTCTCACCCCAACAGATACTGGCAGCACCTACTCAAGAGCATAAAGTACTCCCTTCATTTTGAAACTGGAGATCACTGCTCAGCCAAAAAAGCAGAGACAGGGATTGGATTATAACTGCACTTTTATTAATATCAAAGGTCAGCAATCTGAGAAGGTGGGAGGTAAAAATCCTACCATCCACCTTACCTTGAGCTTTCAGAAGCAAGTTTATATAGGGGAAACAGGGGAATTTGGGAGGGGGAAGTTCCTAGGGGGAGCGCTGACATGTGGTTTCTCTTGGGAGTAAGGGGAGGGGGAGCTGAAAGGAGACTCGCTCCCTCCCTTATTCCTGGTGTTAGGTGTTTTCTCTCCTTTTCCTTTGCCTGGGCATTCCTCTCTTCCCTGGACACCTGTGGTTTACGGCCAGGGAGGCTGAGTGTTCTCTGGTTAGGGAGGAGAGGTATAAACCATTTGCTCTCAAGTGCCCTTGGTTAGGGGAAATAAGGTCTTGGGATTCACCAGCTGATTGTAAATTGCACAAACTGTTTGGCCTTGTTTAATTTTCTTATCTCGGTTTCCCCATTCTACTCCCCCAGGAATTTTCCTGTCTTCTCACTGCCCTGTCTCAGTTTTATTTGTAACCTATGTAACATGCTCCCCAAACTCATGGTACAAATATGGTCAAATACCTTTTATTTTCCCAGCTAATTAATTGCTCGTCTTTACCTTTCTTATGGCAGAAAAATCAATGACCAGCCTTTCAGTGTTTGGCTTCCCCCTCCTTTCTTTCTCTGGAATTGTCAGAAAAATTCCAGCTCCCCAAAGGAGAATATGGAGCATGGAATCAGCACATTTGCAGACACCACGGGGGCATATTCTAGTCCGATTCATCCGTGCTGCAGTTGCACTTGATGCCTCATGATACCACTGTTCACGATTGTTCCGTAAAACACTCCTGAGAAAGCTGTTGCTCCCCTGCTGGCCCAGGTGGCCCTCCCAGAGTGCTACACTTGGCCTCTGAGGCTGCAGTTTAGCGCTGGGCACTTAGATCACACACACGACCACCTTTATGGGGACTGAGCCTCGTACCCGTGCTCCACAGACAACCATAACCTGCCTTCCCTCCCCATAATCCAAACTCGAGGTCAGTTTTTCCTTTAAACCTTTAAAACTCACAGTATTGTTATCTCTCCACACCATATTATACAGAGAAGCTCTAGAACTTACCTTGTATAACTGAACATTCATACCTGTTAAACAGCAACTCCCCATGTACCTGTCCCCCTTATATAAGTGAAGTCATATGGAATTTGCCCTGTGATTGGCTACTTCATTCAGCATAATGCACTCCAGGTTCATTCATGTTGTCTTACGTGGCAGGACCTCCTTTTTCAAGGCTGAATAGCATTCCATCATGTGTTTATGTTGCATTTTCTTTATTCCATTATCAGTCAGTGGACATTTAGTTTGTTTCCACTTCTTGGCTATTATGAATAATCCATCAGCCCTTTCTGACCAGAGATGGGCTGGCTGTTGGTTCTCTGTGCCTTTCTAAGAGGGAGTCCCTGGTGAGTCTTAAGTGTTTTAAATTGTCCCAACCAGGGAAGTTTCTTTCCATGACTCAAAGTTCATTTCTGACACCTGTTTGTCATTTAGTGAACACTTCTGAATATGTAACAAACAAAAATCTCTAAGTCCTGGGGACACGGTGTTGAAAGGCAATATCCAGGCTTTACTGGGCTTTCCATTTGAGTGGTATGGATACTTTCTCTTTTCCTTACTTTTCTTTTTTTGTCTTATTTAAGAGGAGAAAAAACAAACATAACCCCTGACTGGGTACCCATAACATACAGTAATGGACTTTTTTAAATGATGCCCAAAGAAATGAATTGACTAGTTATACTAATCCCAGTGCCTCTTTATATATAACAGATTTAGTTTCTGGCCCTTTGATTTCTTTCAGCTTATTTTCTCTTGTATTTTTATATTTCCAAGATGTCAGACAATTCACAGAAATATTTAAGAGTTTCACATTTTTGGAGCCTTGTTCTGAGTCTACCTTGGCCTTTATTAAAAAGAAAGTGCTCCTTTCTTAGAAAAAAAACAACATAATTCTCACATCTGTAATAAAATATGTCCCCAAGTAATCCAATAAAAATTAAATTGAAAGGCAAAGGATTCATTCAGCAGACATTGATTGAGCTTCATGATGTGCAAAATACAAAGATTAAAAAAAGGTACAGTCTTGCCCTCCAGGGTTTGTAATCTAGCAAGACAACTAAAATAAGCCTGTAATGATTGCAGTGTAAGACAAGAGGAGCATGTGCAAAACGCTATCAAATCTCTGGCTGAAGAGCACTGAGTTTTCACAAAGGTGATTTTTGAGTGAGAGAGAGGAGGGCTGAGGGACAATGCTGGTCACATCAGAAGATTAGCAACAGGGCTTGAGGTCAGGTAGCTTACAGGAACATTGATAGATGGGCTAGAGAGCCAGGTTGGTGTAGCAAGTAGTGTTTCAAAACCATGAGGAGGAATTTGGATGTAACTGAATCTGATACATTTGATTTTATCATGCACACACATTTGCACATACCGCCCCCCCACACACACACACAAAGTTCTATCTGGAAAAAGTCCAGCCATTGTTAATATAACAAGAATGGTTTGCTCAACATTGATGTAACCTGGCAGCCAAGGAGAGTGGACTGAATGCACATGCGGGAAGAATGATGACTTCACTGTCCTAGTCAGTGGGAGTGGTAGACACCACTGAGTGAGCATGTGTACTGTGTGGTCATCACATTCAAAATGACTGAGCAAGTAGAGCAATGCATCTGCATCAAATTTTGCATTAAGCTTGAACATTGGTCTGCAGAAACTATTTGGATGATTCAGAAGGCTTTTGGGGACAATGTTGCAGTTATGGGTAACCTGTGATTGGCAGCTTCAGCCCACCTATTCAGGCATCAAGTCTCATGCAGGGTTTTTTTGCAAAACATCAAATCACTCAGGTGACTCAGTCCCCCTACAGCCCAACTTTGTCACCCTGCAATTTCCAGCTTTTCACAAAACTAAAATCACCTTTGAAAGGGAAGAGATTTCAGACCATTAATAAGATGTGGGAAATACGACAGGGCAGCTGGTGGCATTGAGAGAACTGTGTGAGGTCCCAAGGTGCCTATTTTGAAGGGGACTGAGGCATCATTGTCCTATGTACAATGTACAAGTATCTTGTATCTTCAATAAATGTCTCTCTTTTTCACAGTACATGGCTGAATACCTTCTAGACAGACCATGCACATGCACACATATTTACTGAGGTCTACTAATAAAAGTAAAAGAATGCTGTATCAAACAGGACACAGAAAATAAATTATACTTGTAATATATGTCCTAGCTCAAGGTAGTCCAAATCTTAGGAAATTGGGTGTTGTTCTTTATATATATTGGATAAAAGTCCTTTATCAGATGTTTGATTTGCAAATATTTTACCCCAGCATGTGGATTATTTTTTCATTTTCTCAACCTTGTTTTTCAAAGGGAAGTTTTTGAGTTTTGGTGAAGTGGAAATTCAGTATATTTACAAAGAGTCCTAAGATTCACAGAAATCTTTAAGGACTTCAATAAGGCTCTGACTTTTGTGTTTCAGTTCAGAAAAGAGAGGTGAGCGCCAAGGAGTCTTCATTCTCCAGAAGGCTGCTTACCTCCTCAGCCTCATTTCACCCCACCACCCCTACCCTCACCACCAACTCTCTTCACCATCCTCACTCCAAGAAGAACCTGTATGAAATTTCTTCTGAAATTGCCATGCCCTTACTGCCCCCAGCTCCCAGACATTTCTCTAGCTGCCTAGACGGGCTTCCCCAATCAAAGCATTCATCTCGTTTAGTTGAATTTGGGTAAAAATCTCCCTCCTTCCCAAAGCTGTTTCCCTCCATGTTGGTTTCATTCTCTAGAATGTTCTTTCTATGCAATATGAAAGATGCCTCTGGTTGGTGTCTGCAAATTCGAGATTCCTGTACTCCTCCCCATATCTGCATCAAACACCCCAAAGGATTCAGGAACACAAGAATGGTAGTGTTTTCTTTTTCAGAAATGACAGTAGGTTTGCAAAGATTTATCCACTAGTCTATCTTGCAGCTAATTCTTTCAGTACCGAAGAAAGTTTTCCCTCTTGAACTCTCTAAGAAAATTTCCTTGTATGCAGCACATGGTCATTTCTGAGCTAACCCTTTGCAAAGGGAATAGGGTTATTTTGGACCACTGAGGTTTATGCCTGGGGGTTTATGCCTGAAGCTGAAGTGGCATCAACTTTTCCCAAATTCTGTGGCTGCACAAAAGAAGTGCTAGACTCATCAACAAAATTCAGATAGGAAGGAGAAAGAGAAGAAAACAGTTGCTAAGTAGGCAACCAACAATCCAGTACAGGCTGGCTCAGTCCCTGTTAAGAAAAAAAAAATTCATTTATCAATAGATAACTGCTAATCTTCCAAACCTCAAGTAGTTTACCATCTAGAGGGCAAAGAAAGCATAAATTCCTTTAGTTCAGTGATGGAAGCAGAGCCAGGCACCTGACAAAGTTTGAAGTGAGGGATCATAGAAAGTAAATTTTAAAGTTCAAGAAAGCATTAAATTGAAAACAATTAAAATAGAAGTCGTTGCTATATGAAAATTCTCTTTGCATAGTTCCCTGATGGTTAGCTTTTGAATCACCCCAAAGCCTTTCTAAAAACCA